GTGTGGACTGACCAATGAGGAGAGGGTCTTAACTTGAGGCCCTCTCTTCATTGGTCATTCTGCATGAGACTGACTCTCAACTGACGTTCAGTCATAGGCAGCGAAGCTTCTCTGTGCAGTGCAAAAGCCCGGGTGGACAGTTTGTTTAATGTAGGGTGACCATATTTCCATTTCCAAACAAGAGGACAGGGGATCTGTGCCTATGACGTCACACTATGGCAACGCCACACAAACCATGTTGGGACCCATTTTTTGTAAGAACTAAATTAATATCAGATTCTGCCAATTAAAGGGCTCTAAAACAATTCATATGTAAATATTTTGCATATTTAATGCAAAATCTAATTTTTCTGCTTTAGTGCTGCAACAAGGTTTTATTGATAATAAATTACTATACCTTTTGTTTTACTACAGCATCGGTAAGCTTCCTGTGCACAGATTATTAAGGATGCTTGTTTCAACTGTGAGATTAGACGATAGGATCAATGAAAAAATAAGTTGTCACAAACTCCATGGAAACTTTCAGAGAATCCACAAATAGTGGCTTTCAAATGGTTTTGTTACTTTTTGCAAGTTTATAAAATAAGCAGATGAGACAGCGTGTCTGATTATTTAGTTTTTCATCTGATAATATTAGAGCATGTCAGTAATGTCTGAGGGGCTTTTATAAACACCATATAACTAACACTACTGGAGAGGGCATGAATTACACAGAGGCTTCTGGGGAGCCCAGTTATTGGGGGGGGGGGGGGGGGGGGGGCATTTTGCCTTGGCCCCCAAAATGTCTTGAAACGGCCCTGGGTGTGTGACTGAGTTTTGAAGGTGATCTGAATTGTATCAGATGTATAAATATGACATGTGTATAACTTATTGTTTTTTACTGGTAAAAACGTGTAGTGGAGATAAATCTACCTACATTTTACTTTTCAACACTTTGTTTTGTTTTCTTGTTTTTATTGAACTATTTTCCTGTCCTGTCTGTCTCTCATCTTCCTGCATCTCCTCTTAATTCTCCAGAAAATCTGTTGCCTGGATTCTTACCTTTTCACCTCATCAGTTACTTTTGAGCAGATCAAAGGGATCTCCTGACCGAAAAGCGCAGAGCGCGTTTTCGATGCTGCGTGAGGTGACATCACCACAGCACAGGTGATGAGCTCAGCAGTAGCGCGCTTCAGGCACAAAAAAGACAGAAAATAGAGAACATGTGCGGACATGAACGATCGTGTGCTAATTATAGTTTTTTGGTTGCGCCACTTTGAGAATGGACCGTGCACTGGAAGCAGCTGCCTGGATCGCTGTGCAACAATGCGGAACCGGTTCGCAGCAGCTCAAGTCTGCCGGCTCTCCCTCGCGCTGATCTGCCTGTACCGGCTCTCCCTCACGCTGATCTGCGGCTCTCCCTCGCGCTGATCTGCGGCTCTCCCTCGCGCTGATCTGCGGCTCTCCCTCGCGCTGATCTGCCGGCTCTTCCTCACGCTGATCTGCGGCTCTCCCTCGCGCTGATCTGACTGCTCTGGTCTGCGCGCAACGGCGGGCGGGAAGGGGGGGCGCTTTTGGAAGAGTTGTGCGACACAACGAATCGATGACGCAATTCGTTGCCAACGCTTTTAGTAATCGATTTTCATCGAATTTATCGATTCGTTGTTGCAGCCCTAGTGCCGGTGTTTCATTCATCACTCAGTCATCGTTCTCACCAGACTTTGTATCGAGTCTCCAGGCTTACCAGCCCTCTAACCCTCCATCCAAACCCTCAGGAGATAACCACGCTGGTTATTTCCATCACTCCGCGTCTGGGCAACAGATCCCCTCAGTCACGCTTCAGATCTGCCAACGAACCTGACACTTTCAGCATGTAATTATTAGTTCTCTTTTCAAATACCCCCTGAATGTTTGTTGACAGAGTACCTAAATTGGCTTTTTACATAGTTTGTAAGATTTTCCAGTTTTTTTAATCATGAAATTTCAGTAATTTATATTTAATAAACAATGGGTTTGATGGATCTCTACAGCCACTATAATTGATGATTCTCAGAGCTCCTTTCTGTAAAACAAATAAGGGTTGTGTATAGCTTTTGTATGTTGCTCCCCAGATTTCTACACAATAGGTAAAGTATGGAACAATCAGTGAATTGTACAATGCCAATAAAATACCTTTTATGTAACTAATATGGGATTTCCATAACAAGTCTTCATCAATAAGAACTCCAAGAAATTTAGTTTCTTTTACTCTTTGAATTTCAACCCCATCTATTTCCAATGACACATCACTGTTCTTTTTATCATTAAACAGTATAAAATTTGTTTTAAGATTCAGTGTCAATCTATTTATGTCAAACCAGTTTTTAATTTTAATCAGTTCATCATTTATCACTTTAGCCACCTCCTCAATATTTGATCCTGAGTAAAACAGTGTTGTGTCATCTGCAAATAGAATGGTACCGAGTGTTGTAGACACATTTACCAAGTCGTTAATAAACAAAATTAAAGTTTTGGTCTGAGGACCGACCCTTGTGGCACTCCACAATTAATATCACATAGTTTTGATTTATGGTCCTTTATCTGAATGGTTTCCTTTTTTCTAAATAACTTTTAACCCATTGATGAGCCACACCCCTTATTCCAAACTGACTTAATTTTCGAAGTAACCTTGAGTGATCAATGACGTCAAATGCTTTTTTCAAATGAATGAAAACACTAACGTCATTTTTGTTGTCAATTACTGTTGAAATTTTATCCGTTAATTCCATTGTCAAGTGCTTCTTTTTCTGTGAGGCGTCTACACTTGAAAAGACCAGACTTTGGCTTCACTCAGATGTTTTTATTTGACCAGTTTCAGAATCATCATAAAGGTCAGCATCAGGTGAAAACCTTTAAATACAAAACAGAACGTTTTAACAACCACACAAACACCAAACTAAATCAACAAATAACATAAATTAAAAAGCATTTAAGCCAACATCTGTAATTTACTTTATACACAGTTACCTTTTCAGTATTTAACCTGTGTTTTTTTTAAACATTTTTATTAAGGTTTGAAATAAGGATTATTGTTTACAAAGAATCTGATTTAATTCTAACCAAACTCAAAGAAAACACAAACTTTCTCCTAACACATTTGTTAGCCACAAGAGCTTGCCACAAGCCCATATGAATCAGTCCAAAAGCTTACCGATAGCCTGTCAAGATCAAAAGTCCTCCTCACAGTTGAATTGTTGGCTTGCCTCTGCCATCTGTTTGTCAAACACTGGCTGAATGCCTGCTGCATGCCTTGAGAAGCCACTGAACTGTGAGGTTGTGTGCTCTTGATTTCTTAATTTGTACCATAAAACCCTGTGGAACCAGACCCAGTCCCAGTAATAATTGAACCATATTTGTGATTTTACTACATATTATATGCATCTGTAACAGAAAACAAACATAATGGTCAGGGGCACCCTCTAGTGGTCAGCTACAATCAGTTGATCAGTGGTAAAGTCTTGCAGCCGAAATGGCAATCTTTAATCCGAGTTTCAAAGAGAAGTATGACATGCAACAGCTTCAGAGATGGTTGTTTCTTGAAGGATTGAAAAAAGTTTTGTCCAGAAGCTTAACTTCACTCACTTACTTGAGGTGGAATGATTACACATCATAAAACTTCCATGATTTTTGAAAACGGTGAAACCATTGTTCAATTTCCTTCTTCTACACAGATTCAAATATAAGCACAAATGTGAACTGATGTTTCAGAACATTTCTCTTAGTAAGTTATAGACAAAATGTGTGTGTGTTTTTTTTTTGCACTGAATGACATATACTCATACAATTCTGGATGATTTGACCACTCTTGACAGAATTGATTTTCTTACCAGGTTTAAACAAACTGCATAAATGTAAGTTTGAGGCTGGACTTTTGAAATGACCTGTTCAGAAGCTAAATGTTAGCCAGCTCTATCAGAAACTATTTCTGATGTTTGTTTGGGATCATTGTCTTGTTTCAACAACCTACAACACCTTTAGCAACTGAATTATTTAATTCAACATGATAGCCAACCTGTGTGACCGGTGTCAGAGCTTGGTCCGCATTTCTGGAAGTAAGTCGGGCTTGTTCCCAGTGAGAATTGGACTAAGCCAAGGCTGCCCTTTGTCACCGATTCTACTCATAACTTTTATGGACAGGATTTCTAGGCGTATAGCCAAGGTGTTGAGGGGATCCGTTTTGGTGGCCTGAGGATCAGGTCTCTGCTTTTTGCAGACGATGTTAACCTTTTGGCTTCATCAGAACGTGATGTTCGGCTTTCGCTGGAGCGGTTTACAGCCGAGTGTGAAGCAGCTGGGAGGGAATCAGCTCCTCTCAATCTGAGACCATGGTTTTGATTTGAAAAAGGGTAGAATGTCTTCTCCGGATCAGGGATGAGGTCCTGCCCCAAGTGGAGGAGTTTAAGTTTCTCTGGGTCTTGTTCATGAGAGAGGGAATGCTGGAACGAGAGATCGACAAGCGGATTGGTGCTGCGTCTGCAGTGATATGGGTGTTGTACCGGTCTGTCGTGGTGAAGAGAGAGCTGAGCCAGAAGGCAAAGCTCGCGATTTACCGGTCGATCTACGTTCCTACTAGGGATGCACCGATACCAGTATCGGTATTGGTGCAGATACAAATACCGATACCAGTATCGGTATTGGTAAAAGTTAACCAACACCAGGAACCGATACCAATGCGGTTGCTTGAAAGTGGCTTCACTGTCACTTGTCATTTCTGTTCACCTAATATTTTAGTTTTGTGATAATTTCTATTCATAAATTTTACTTTTTATCTACCTCACAGTCTTTTCCTGTTGAAAGCAGAGAAGAAAATAAAACCTGTATTACAATTCATGGCATTTTTTGTGTGGTAGAAGTATCGGTAATCGCTATCGACGAGTACTCAGATCCAAGAATCGGTGTTTGCAGCAGGTTCCAAGCATTTTCGGTCAGTGCCACGGCAGGCTCAGCGTGGGTCAATTCTAATGACACGCTACAACTTTCAACTGTGTTGACGTCTTCTTTATTCGTTCCACATCAAAATTGTAACATGATAATTGATCAGCACATGATTACGCAGTATTCAGGTAAACGGTCAACAAAATTATTTCACCCAAACTCACCCCGCTATCATCCTTCCTGCCATCAGTCTCTAATGAACTGCGACAGGTGAAGATAAGTAGCTCAAGGACGCACCCAGTGACACACCAACTCCCAATATGCAAATCAATACACATTAACAAAAAAAAAACATCCTCATTTTTGGCTCCTACAATTGGTATTGTATCGGTTTGGAAAGAAGTGGTATTGTTGCATCCCTAGTTCCTGCCCTCACCTATGGTCATGAGCTTTGGGTAGTGACCGAAAGAACGAGATTGCGGATACAAGTGGCCAAAATGAGTTTTCTTTGCCGAGTGGCTGGGCTCTCTCTTACAGATAGGGTGAGAAGCTCGGCCATCCGGGAGGGCCTCAAAGTAGATCTGCTGCTCCTCCACATCAAGAGGAACCAGTTGAAGTGGCTCGGGCATCTGATTAGGATGCCTCCTCGACACCTCCCTGGTGAGGTTTTCTGGGCACGTCTGACTGGAAGGAGGCCTAAAGGGAGACCCAGGACCTCTGACCACAACTATATGAGTATGGATATATATGAATTCAGATAAATCTTTGCTATTCCAACCCTAAAGGAGGCGGTTCAACACGTTCAGGCCCAGTTCGATGAGAACCAGAGAGAACCTCATAGGTGACAAACACAACCATGTTCACTGGGAATGCACGTAGACAGTTGACACCTAAGCTCTTGAAGAAAACCCCGGCTCCCTCCACTCTCACAGTCTCAACGATGCAGTGGACAAAACCCGTGTAACGCTTCATCTCCCGCGCTCCGTCCACCTGCAGACGAGCTTTGATAACATCCATTGGTGTTCCTACAGTCCAGCCTGCTATCCCTGCTATCCCACCAGCTAGCATCACGCTACTCCAGTCTGTAGGAAATAAACACTCCAATCAATGTCAAAGGTAAAGTCTGCATGACTATGAATAAAAATGGACAGAACGGCATCGTTTACTCACCCAAACTTTTCATGCTGCCGCCTGACAGCCATTCATAGATGGTTGTATAAGTCAAGAAGTATGTGGCGTATGAAGGTCCGTCTCTCAGTGTGAGTGGGAGAGCTCCTCTGTAGAGCCCTGTAACTCCTTCACCTCTGATGATGCTCAGCAGGCAGTGAAGTGGGCCGTGATACTTTGGCCTGGGCGCATTGGTTCCCTTTCGCATGGACTCCGTCTGACACTGTAGACGTACCTTAACAATGTCACCTGGAGCCATCACAGAGATCTGTCAAAGGTAAAGAGTTTTTCAATGCTGTTGGTATCAAGAGCATTTTATTTAGATTAAACAAATCACAGATGGTTTAATGAACCCGCCTCTTTTACCTGAGCCACACCTCCTGCCATTCCAGCCAGGAAGACTTCTAGTTTGGTGTTCGGAGCCCAATCAGCTCCCCGTGCCTGCTTCATGCACTGCAAACAGTTCCTGTATGTGCCAAACACTACTGAGGACGTTAGAGAGACTGTGGCCATTGGTAAGGACATGCCTTTAAAGAAGCCATGCACCTGATGGAAGAAAGATTAACAACCGTGAGACCAACTGGGATTTTGGCGAAAACATTGAAAAACACTGTGGTTCACTGAAAAAGGATCACTGGTAACTAATGCAGGTCTGCCAGTATTGGGGTGATGTGACTGCGTCTGTCTGAGTTGGTCATTAAAAAAAAAAAATAACTTGAGCACCTGTGTGTGTGTGTGTGTGTGTGTGTGTGTGTGCCCACACGCTTGTGTATGTAAGGTTTCTCCAAAGGACTGCCCAGTAGCGAGTGTGAGGGGGCCACAAACCTGCCCCCCAAGACCCGTGGAAGACATGGAGGACATCTGAGCTGCACACATCCAGAGATCACCCCAGAATCAATCAATCAATACTTTATTAATCCCAGAGGGAAATTAAAGTTTCAGTACACACAATTCAGAGATCAGACATACATGGGCAAGACGCATGACAAGAATTTGTGACTGTGGTCATTCGCAACCCTGAGTCGCGCTACCTTAATAGAGGTCAGAGGGTAACATGAGGATTGGTTCAGGTGGAGGGAAAAAAAGGCACTTCATAGTTACCCTCCCACCAGGAGGGCAGCTTTGCTATGCAAAAAAACACCTCAACAAATAAGCAACAGAATACCAGCATTTCCCGCTGTTAAAGTGACAATATGTGCTTTCGGGCTGTAGTACTTCGTAGTTCCTAGAACTTTTCAGGAACCAGCCCTATTTGTTTTTAAACAGATAGGAACTAGGAACCTTTCCTCTCATTTCCTAGAATGCTTTTAGCTCCAACTCTATTATAATGTCAATCTGGCACAGCCGAAATATTGCTGCGCTCTCGCGAGAAAGCATGTCCTTTACAAAATAAAAGTACTTTTTAATTTATTTTCCCAATAAAAATTATTTTTATGGCCTAAAAGACTATAATAATACAGACATCCACGGTAGTAACAGGTGATGACTCCTTTAAAGGTAGTTTGTATTATTAGATCTTGATTTGTCTAATCCAAACTCCAAAAAGTCATGCCACTCTTGCCACCCCGTGACGAACTGGCGACCCATCCACAGTGTCACCAGAGGCACATCCATAAAACTACACGCACCTGGTTCTGAATAATCTACCTTTTGAGATCTCCAAAAGCTGAACCTCAGTGAATGCACGTGGACTTCATTTCCTTTGTGTCTAAACACAACCCTCCTATCACCCTTTGTCAGAGCAACAAAGAGAAATCCTTTTGCAGAGGAAAAGAGACAGCTCACAGTGTGAGAGCTACTTGCTGATCACAGAGCAGGAAACTGGGATTATTCAGTTTATTCCTCTGAGATTAGCAACATGAGCAGCAACTCAGAGCCAAAGTGTCAAAGTTAACACATCCAGTTTATTGTTTCAGCCACCGAAAACTCAGAGGGAGCAATTGTTCTGTGTGAAGATATTGTCACAGGTGATAAAATGGAAACCAGAGTGTTTGGGTTCAAGAACAAACTATTTATCGAAAACCAGTAATCTGACGAGTCCGAGGAAACCAAATTAATCAACGACAGCCACATTCCAAAGGTTGTGGATTGAGATCTGATGACCGTGTAGGACGTTGTAGCCCATTGAACTCATCATCATGGTTAATTAACCAGTTTGAGATTATCAGAGTTTTGTGACCTTGTGCATTATTCTGAAAATAACCATCAGTCCATGTCAGTAAGCTGTTATGTTTAAATTAGCCTCAGGTGGTACATGCGTACCTAATAAAGCGTCCGTGCATATAAAACATCAATCAGGTAGACTGCACAAGTTTTACTCACTCCTTCTTTAGAAAATGTCTCCACTGCACACTGATACACTCCAGTGAACTGTCTCTGGGTTTGGATCCGAACCTTAAAATATTAAAAATATTATGTGAAAACCACACCTATCATGTTAGTTTATCTCGCTTCGCATCACAGACTTTAGCTACCTACTGTACCTTCACAGTGTCCAAGGGGTAGCCCACAGCCACTCCACAGGCCCCTGTTTATTTTCAGAGGAAACAGAACACCAAGGGCAGCTTAGAGACACCATCATGGTCAAAGGTAATGGACATAAAAAACACTTCTAGCGTCATGAGGCAAAAAAAAAAAATAAATAAATCAATGAAAAGTGGGTAAAAATTAGCTTAATTATTTACACATAATCCAAAATGAATTAGGTCTACATAGACGGATGTTGACAAAATTATACATCGGTTGCATTAGAAGTTATAAAAAATATTCTGATTTTAGGTTTGAACTGAGAATTGAAAATGTTATCAAAGAATATCAAATTTTTAAAACTTTTTTTGTCATTTAACCCATAAGCACAGAACAGGCAACAGTGTTCAGTATCTTTTCTTAAACTATGTGGATTTAGAGGTAAAAGTGCTGATCTACCAATAAACAGTAAATATTAAAACACAGACGTTAAGTCAGGGTTAATCTAATCTTTGCAGATGTGAGTTATCATGCAATAAATGAGCAGCAGTTAGCTGATTAGCTACAACATGCAGACAAATAAATAAAACTTCATGAAAACAAATGTAACTGTTACCTGCAACTGAACCTGACAAGAAATCGACGATGTGCATCTTGTAATTTGCAGTCGAACTATGCCATGCTTGTGAACAGATTGTAGGCTCATTCTTTTCCACGATCGGTAACCTTCCCTGTGGGTTGTTGTTATGTGACAGCTCGGCAGTTACGGAAAAAGCCGAAACTCCTCGACGGAAGCTCCGATTTTACCCGAGCAAAGGAAAGTACGGAAACCCATTACTGCCACTCAAAATGGGTCACATGGCTTAAAAAAATAACTTTTTGTGTCTTCATTGTTTACAAGACATTTTGTTACCTCGATCTGGGGTGGCATTCATTTAATTTATGTTTACAATGTTGTTTTTATAGTTGCAGAAAATGTAGGCACGTTAAAACAATGGTTGTGTGTGACAGATTCATGTGCATGCCAAAATGGTGTGTGTGTGTGCACGCGCGCGCGTGTGTGAAATGTCTATTTTAGATCTTTACAGGCCTATCTTTTCATACTACCTCCTTATCTAATTATTGAATTGAGTGCAATGAAGATTTTCTAGTACTACTGTGAGAAAATAATCTTGAATCTTGAATAAAAGTAATCATGAGAATAAAATACACAAGTCATTTTTATAAAATTAAAAGACTTCGATGTAAGACTAAGTCCTATTTATCAGATGCAAATCATTATGCGTTTGAAAATCAAAACTATGATATTCAGACTTATAATTATGAAATGCAGAGACAATGTTCTAAATTTGAAAGTCATAATTATAAGATACAAAGTAGTTAACCTTCATTTTATTATTGCTACCTATTGGCACTGTGCAGTAAAAATGGGCAATTCATGACATTTCAGAAGACTAGCATCCACACATTCAATAATACATCAGTTGAGCAGTATAACATGCAAGCATTTATAGTACTATTTATTCTACACAAAGAATGGCGCTGCTATTATGAATTTGAAGGTCATACATTTGAGTTTGAACATTTTAAATAATAAGTTCAGTCATGGTTTTAGTCTGAATTTTTTAATTATGAGATTCAAATTCATGTTTAGGAGTTTTGGTATTTAGGATTTTGAAAATTAGTTAAAATTCATATTTACGAGTTCGAAAATCATGTTTGTAATGCACAGTGAGAATTTTTTTGGCGTGGCATTAATGGGCTTCCTTACACTGCCACTTTAAAAAACCTGAATGCTTTTTAAACGTAGTTCCACAGCTTCACGCCATGAAGGCAACTGTTGTCTATAAATTTCACTCACACTCTTTTTCATTGATCTAAACATTTTGTAAACACACTTGACACCAGCTGAAAACATTCGGACACTGAGAGCCAATGAAAGACGGGTATTATGTCTCGTGCAGGGTGTCGGCGTTTTCTCTTCGCTCTGATTGGACAGAAACCGAAGCCGGCGTAATCAGAGCCGTCCGTTTGAAGTTACTTCCTGTGACGAGGGCTGTTCGGATTAAACCCGAGAGACGGTGTCCACATAGATACTACTAGCATCCCCGCGGGTAAATACGGGCTTGTATGTTGATAAAAGGCTGCAGATATCATGCAACCCGGTAAAATACTGCGTGTACCGTTTGTTGGTTTAAACTAGTTTGCCGGTCGTTTCTTACAGCTAATGTAAACACTGACAATATAAGCTAGCGGTGGTCCATCAACCTGATTAACAACACTGTCTTCAGCGAAGTCACCGGTGTTGTACGTGCTGTAAACAATTTAGCTTCAGACAGCTTTATTAGAAATTATATATAATAAATCCCTCACAGCAAGGAGCCTTTGAAAGGAAGGTGATGGACTTCATTGCAGGATGCATCGGAGGTAAGTTGCAGCTATCAGGTGTCTTGATAATGGCTGAATGCGGGATCGTTTCCATTTCCTGTAAAGTCAGGTGATATCTTTGTTCAGTGTCAGTTGAAAACCTTTTTTAAATCCTCCAAAATCCACTTTGATTTTCTACAAAATTATTTTAGGACTTCATGACCAGCATCCTGATGTAAATTCCCTTGCCACAAGTGGTATTGCATTTTTAAGGCTGATCAAATCAATTACATGTGTGTCCTGCGGAACAAAAACGCCATGTTTCAGTCATGAGATCACCTGTTTGCCTCTGTGGAATTCAAAGCATGATGTAAACACAAAGTACACCCAGGGGTTTTGGTCTCCTCACCTTCCACAGCACACCCCTTCAACGGCCAATCCCATGCTCTTTTTATTTTCAGTAACCGACGTGTGGATTATCCACAATGAGGAAACCAAACCCTCAGATTAAAAGCGGATCTACTTCCTGTATGGCAGGTTTTCCTTGAAAGCTAACATGCTTTTGAGTATAAGAAGTATTTGATGACACATTGTCATCTGATTTATTATTATGGTCACTGGCCACTTTTCTAAAAAACAAACACCTGTTTGTGTGTGTTGGTAACATCAGTGACACAACTTTGATAGGCTTTACTTTACAAACAGGTCATGTGATAAACCAGGTGCTTATGTCAGCTTAGTTTGCCGTGTTTGTTTACCATGGGAGACTCATGAGCGTCGTTGTCCCCACCTCACCCCCAGGCACTCGTACTGTGACTCTCAACACATTTTAATTTTAACAATCAAATAAATAAAAAATAAAAAAATAACACTAAGCTAACTTAATTTCAATTGTCTAAACATGAACATGACAGCCATAAATCTAAGCAGCTGTAATGACATTAATCATAGGTGTGTCTGTACTGATTGTACGACAGACTGTAAGAGAAACTGACCACAGTGCCATTTGTTGTCATGTTTTATGACACTAAGGAAAAGAACAGAGGACAAACTCTTCGTTTGCTGGTTTCTCTATTGAAAACCTACACAAGTTGTCCTCGGTCCAAAACACAATGACATGTCTCAGTTGTACACTGCGTGCAGATGCATTTTGGCAACTAAATGAAAGGTTTTCTCATTTCACTTGTGAATTTTCATTTGATTAATTGATACGTTTCTCAATAAAAACAGTATTTTTTGGACACTTTACTTTTCTGTTTCTGGTGCTGTGAAGCTTGGAGGATTTTTACTGCTATTTTTTCGCTTTTTTCACTTTTTGAGCATTTGTTATGATGCATAACCATGACAACAAGCTGGTTTACAATCGGGAGCAGTTGATTAACATTGGAAAGGCTGAAATAATACCTCAACTGAAGCCACAAATCCCAAATGAACTAAAACGCAAGAAGCGTGGGTGCAGAGCGGGAGCAAGACAGAGACAGAAAAAGTGGAAATTCAAACCATCTCTTCCATCGATCATAATGGGCAATGTGAGATCACTGGCCAACAAGATGGAGGAACTCCAAGCCCTTTCAAGGACTCAGCCAGAGTTTTGGCAGTTTCGGAACCGCTGGAGGAGATAATGCAAAGAAGGATTCTCCAGAGAATCAAGAAAATGATGGACAACCCTGAGCGTTCTCTTCACAAGACTGTCCGACAACGGAAGAGTGTCTTCAGTCAGAGGCTTATTCAGTTTGGCTGCAACACTGACCGCTACTGGAGATCCTTCCTGCCAACAGCCATTGTAATATACAACAACTCTTTGATGACTTGATTATTATTATTATTCAGAGCTACTACAGCAATCAATTTCCCTCTGGGATTAATAAAGTATTTTTGAATTGAATAGAATTAAGTGAAAATAATAAGTCAACATATAAATGTTTCTATTCTTTCGTAAATATTCCATTTAAAGGTGGGGTGAATTCATCGACATATAAATACTGGACAATTAATTTCCATAGACTCCAATAACACGTTTTTGAGGAGAAATGGGAGGTGGCCACCACCGCCATTTTGACCGTGTCACAGGTTCCGTCAAGCCCAGACAATTCCAAAAAAGGGAAGAGAGGTGGAGCTGAGGGTGGGGCTGTAAGGCTGGGATCAACTGACGACACCCGGTCGAACTAGCTACAAGCTAACCTGAAGCTAACCCAAAGCTAACGTGGAGGTGGGAGCTAAGCTAACGGAGGTAGCAACCTAGCTACAACCAGAGTTAACTGGGCACAATACCAGAGCTTCTGAGTCAGAGATACGCCAGGCTGACTGCTGGGTAAAACCGGGTGGAGCACAGAGGTCTCCGAGACCTCCACTAGCCGGCAGCCCGCGCAGCTATCAGGAACCGCGATCAGACAGAGATGGACCGGGCTGCGGGGAGAAACAGCCGGCATTCCGGGTGGAAAACATCGGTCTCCTGAGAGCTCCACAAGCCGATAGTCGGAACCCAGCTCCACCAACATGTTATATTTCAACCCATTTTCTAAAGTGCAGCATTATGTTAAATGCACTGGGTTTTACCCTATTACATTTAAATTTCATGGTTAAACAGTACATGTTTAAATCTAAGCTCAGTGGAGACTCCTTGGACGCTCTATTAGTGCAATTAATGCCACAGCAAGTCATTTTGTCCAACAATTGCACAATAATATCCATAAAAGAATACACAAACACAGAGACTCAAAATCCCGGAACAGTTTCCAGACCAGACCGAGGCTCTACTGAGGCCTTTCCACGGAGCTAGCTCTGCGGTCACGTGGGTCTGATGCTCATTAATTATACAGACTTTTAGGCTTTTAATACACTTAAACAGAAGAGTGAGAAAAAAATCACCCCCCTCAGAGTTGTCATGAGTGTAAACTAGATCATTTAAACAAAAAAACATGTTTTGGAACCAGGCTGTAAACATGTTTATTTCTGCTGTGAAACTGGCATTTTTAACATGGGAGTCGATGAGGATTTTGCTCGCTTCTGACACCAGCTCCTAGTGGATGAGGGTGGAACTGCAATTTTTGGTACTTCCGGGTTTGACTCAATTTTAGAGCCGCATTGTGGGGGCTTGGATGAATTATGTTTTTTTTAGAGCATTTGTGCGATTTTGCGTGAAATGTTCTTCACAGATGGCATGCAATTTATGAAATACTTAGTCCAAAAATTGGGTAAATTTAATCCCATCTGAATTGAGCAATTGTGGAAAAACCTCATCATCCATCAAGCTGCCCTCTGACTGCATGTACCCCTCTATGTACACCAGGGGTGTCGAACTCAAATTCCCACTGGGCTGAAATGAAAAATTGGGACGAAGTCGTGGGCCAAACTCAAATTTTTTAAAAAAGTGACTGCAATGTGCACATTTTCCTTTACCTACATCTATGTGTGGTTGAAACTTTTCATTTGGAAACAAAC